CGTCAAGTTATCTGACCACAGAGCGTGCAAACAAGCCAGGTGTTCCCTGTTTATATTCATTTACCCCCAATACGCGTGTCTGTATCCTTTTCTCGTGTTTATTCTCTCTCATTTGGATATTGCTTTGCCATCAAGTGAGACACCGAAGTCCAAGGTCTTGATCTGCAAACCCCTTACCTCAGTGGCTGCCTAACTCAGGAGATTTTGGCACTAAGGTTTCCCAGATGCCAACCGTTCTGCTTTCAGGCATGTCCAGAAGTGCCTCCGTCCTGACAGAGCCAAGCAGGTCACGTGTAAGCCCCATAGGACTCATGCACGAGGCGTTCCCCCACCTATTAAGCCTGAGGGCTCATCTCGGTAGACATTTTCTGCCTGTCTATCAGATCAGGTTGTGCACAGAGTACAGCCAGATGAGGACGGCGACTAGGCGGTGGTTAGATGTGGGAGACCCGGGCTCCATCCCGTCTCCCAGGACGGGGTCTGAACCACCCGGCTGCGTGAACACAGGGCTGGCAGCAGCCTCCCAGACCTGTGAGTCCAGCCCCCCTGCATTCATGGACAGCCACTTACCCAGAGTAGTAACGCATACACCACGGACACAGAGCACTGGAAACAAACCCCGAGACACTCTGCATTGAGCCACGGGGAAAAAAAAACCCAGGACATTGCTAGTGCCTGCCAATATTTACAGTGGTGTGCCTGGAGGCATCTCCACCTGATCTGTCGGCTTATAATACTTTTTTCCTATTGCAATTCTTGGCATATCTCATCCATCTTATGACGACAATTAACACGATCATCAGAGACCACAATTTCAAAGGTGGTACAGGGGAAGCTAAGATGCAGGCAGCGCCACCTCCAAAATAATTGCAAAGAAACGGGAAATGCATTGAGGCCTGTTGCTGTTCAGCCTCCAGTGCATTAACAGGCAAGGCAGGGATAGGTATTAATCAACCAGACTTATCTATGTAGAAGTCTTTGGATAGGAATACACCAGAACGTAGGGTGGCTTTTAGAAAAAAAGACATTATGAGTAACGTTTCTGTCTCTCTGGCTTGTCTGAGCGTGCTTTTTAGTTGTTACCCTTTTAAATGAAACAACTGGCCTGTTAGGGTCTGTGGCAGCTGGGAAATTCAGAGACCCTGAAGACCAGATGAACAGGGAACAAAACCAGAGAGGAGGCAGAGAAAGAGGGAAGTGGAGCAGAGAACAGGATGTTAATTGAAGGGAAGAAAAGAAATGGCAAATGAGGAAAGCGTTAGAAGAGAAAGAAAAAAAAGTGGGGGGCAAGGAAACTTTTATTGAAAAAATAAATGCACAGATTTGGAAATAGAGTGGGATTCAAGGGAGAGGGGGAACCAGGGAAAAAATTCACAGGGACAGGACCAACTTGGGTAGGTCCCTCGGGTGTCAGCAAGGCTGCAAGTGTAACAGGAGAAAACGAGGCCACTAGCGTTGCATTTGCAGATTGCTTCACATGCCTGGATCATTTCCACAGCTTGTCTTGAAGCCATGTTTCTACAGCTCCGTGGGACAGGACGTGTCATGCCTGACAGCCAGCTCCCAAAACAGGTCCCGTCCTCCCAACTCAGCCACAGTCACCGCTCTGCAAGCGGGCACAAAAGGGAGATGCCTTGAAGGCCGAACTGAAGAAACACGACAGCAACACGAATACCTGGCAGACTCAAGCGCCGACTTGTCCCCAGTGGTGCCGTGATGCATGACAAGTCCTAGATCACGTTGTACAAACCTGCCTCACTATGGAGGCAGACAGATGAGTGAGACAAAGGGAAAAAATTGCGATTTGGCATCACCAGGAGCCACTCCTCCTCCCCAAAACTATTTGCCACCTCTGCCGTTAAGCAGGCAGATCTTGGGTTGGCCGCCTCAGTTGCCTCCAGGCTCAGCCGTGACTTCCCTGTTCACTGGAAGACTCGTCCTCATAGCGAGGGGCTGCTGACGACCGTGACACACAGGTGTAGCAGGGAAGGGTAGGCCCATGCATGGCTCCTCACACCAGGACTGCTCAAAGAAAGCCAGGGGAAAGGCAAGAGACGGGCAGAAACACTGCAGGCTACCCGAATGTCGGCAGGTGAAGCAGGCATCAGGGCTTCTTAGATTTGGCTGGGCCGAGCTCCATGACGTGTAAGTGAAGCAGCACGTGTTTTCATCCCTTGCTGAGGTTTACATCACCACCGACATGCGATGGCCCAGACCTGTCCCCGTATGCAGGATCCTGTGCTGCATTCCAAGTGCCCGGGGATTAGCTGTGGTTGTGGGTGTGCGCACGTGTGCCAGCATGTTGTGTGTTGACTGCACCTCTGCCAATGTCCCACTGCAGTCCCCCAGGCGCTCAGACATGACTAGTTTGCATCATGAGTCATTTGCATGGTGATGAGATGCTGCTGGGTGAAGACGAGCAGCTCTACACATCTGGTTATTTGCATGGACCCTTGAAAACTCCCCTTCCCCCTCAGCCTTCTGCTCCTCCCTCCGCACAGCACCTCTAACCACAGTGAGCCCTCATCCTCCAAGAGCTCAGATATCCTGTTTTGACTGAGGTTACCCCAGCATGTGGCCACCACATCTGAAAAACAAACTACTGTGACAACCAGCTCCCTCACTGTGACTAGGAGAAGCAGTAGTCCTATACCAGCTGCACCAATGCTTGCTTGTGGAGGAAGAGTAGCTGGATGAGGCCAGGTCTACCGGGGCCCCCCTCACCATAAGCTACCTGAGGGTTGCCGTGCTTCATTCCCTGATTCTTGTCCGGATGGGGATGTAGACACCCAGGACCTTGTGGATAGCTCCATTCAGTTTGGGAGTAAATGATCATTGCATTTATAGAAAGGCAATCCTGCCTATACCTTTAAAAGTTGCTATAAAGAAAACACCAGTCCAGGCAAATATAGCGCCCAGTTACCCTCCACCACTGAAAACTGCCCTTAAATGTTTTGCATGCCTTAGTTACTGCATCCTTTTGGTGCAGGCAATGTGGTACTCACCTTCCCTATCAAAGATGCATTAACTCATGCAAGGATCTTTGAGATCCGTGGATGAAGTGACGTATCATTAGTATTAAGTCATCACATTGCAGAGGCTGGCTTCACACAGCAGGTGTCTGTGGTTTTGCACCAGAGATGGTTTTTAACAGGGGGGTTTCCAGTTTTAGATGAGATGGGCGTGACTTTCATTCTCTGCCATGGTGTTATAGGAGATGGGCCTTTTGGGTATATGGTCAGAGTTTTCCACTGGGTGGAACGGCTGTGATTTCCAGTGAAGCTAGCATTTTCCCATCTCTGTGCTGATAAAAGAGCACTGACAGGCTTGGGAAAGAACACCGTTGAGGTGCTGCCCTTTAAGAGTACCGGGCTGCAGGGTTTCTGTGGCTTTGGGCACCAGCTGAGGAGCAGGGCACAGTGATTTATGAGCGATAGCACTGGGCAGGCAAAATGCAGATTAGACTGGGAGAGGAAAGGTAGGACGATTTGCTGTGGGTTCAAAATGCAGAACAGAAACTAAGAAAAACAGGCCTGGGGAAGTCCTTGGTTTCTGTATCTAGATGACTAAGAGAGAAGCTGAATGTAGTAGAGGATTGTTTGGAGAGCGGTTTTGTTGTATCATTTCAATAGCACCTAGTGTCAGCTAGTCAGGCCTCCTGCTAGCTCGTGCCCCGCACAAGTACCGTTTGTCCGTCTCGCCTATATGGATTGCATTGCTCCTCTTTTCCAGATGTGAAACCGAGGCATGGAGCATTTCAAAGACTTGCCCAACATTACATAGGGAACCTGTAACAGAAACTCCTGACTGCTGGAGTCCCTGTCCACAAGACCATCCCTCCACCTCCTGTTTGGAGGGGGCCCTTGAGAAGGGCTTATTTTCTGGGAAGAAACAAGGCGAGTGATGGCCTTTCCCTTGCTAGAGTGTCTGGCCACGTGCTTGAACCCAGGGCTGCAGCCTGCCTGGCATAGCGCCAAACGTCGGTCTACCACTGCCCCAACAAAACGCTGGGCTAGACGCAGGTGGCCAGTCAAGGTCTGCCAGCTTCTTACCTTTTCCCATATAAACCCTTGGCCTGGAAGGGGAAGGATCCAGGCAACAAGGTGCAACCTTTTATCTAGGTTGCTGCACCATTGGCGTGTGCTAGTCCTGACTGACAGTAGGATACCTGACTCGGCTAGCTTCCCGACCTTGCGCTCTGCCTGACCCTCTGGACCATTGACTTGGTTCCCTGGACAGATTTCCTTGCTTTTGACTTCCTGGCTTTTCCTAACCCTAAGGTGACTCCCAGACCTGGACGCCCACAGCCTGGCATGACAGAGAGAGGCTCGAACAGCACCCAAAAGGAAGTGTAGTAGTTGCTTTAATAAACACAACTAGGCTCTGTGATATTTGAGAGGTAGACAAACAGGGTGGAAGGCAAAGAGCTGGAAAAAGGCTAGCCGTATGGACAAGGAATATAAGGGGTGAAAGGACTGAACAGAGCAACAGGGAAGAGCAAGAAAAAGCTTCTGTGCGAGAAACGACATGAAGAAAACCAGAGTTGAAGAGGCTGAGAAAGATTGAAAAAAACAGATTGTGGAACCAGTAGGGACAGGGTGTGGGAATGGGGCAGGTGGCAGTATGCACACGTGGTTTTAAGTGAAACTTGTTTCGGAGGAACTGCGCCAGTTGTGGGAGGCACGCTCTGTCTCTGCGACCCATTCATTCCTTTTCTGGGGCTTCCAGTCTGCCCAGGTGTTGCAACATCAGCACAGCCTCATATGAACCAAACCTTGCTTTGCCTGCGGGCACTGCTTCCCTCAGTGGACATCATTCAATAATGTACAGCGTGCGGGTCTGTTGGAAATATTCTTCCTCTGTAAAGGCGTTTGAAAAGAGAAAGCATTTCAGATGTGTCCTGCTCAATGGTGTAGCTGTAGTTTGGGGACATGAAGTTGCCTCGACACTGTGGCAGTCCAGGAGGCTTGAGCAAGAACGGGAAAACCAAAGATAGGCACAGATGCTTGACAGCTCTAATACAGATAACCAAAGCTTTATTAAAAATCACACTTGGGGAGAAGGGGAAAGCAGTTTTGTACGCTGACAAACTGATTGTTTATGATGCTTTGAGAGGACGGGGTCAAAGGAATCGCATCCCTGTGGGATTTGATTCAAGATGGCTGATTTCCAATTCTTCCTATCTCGAATGAAAGCTCACTGCATGTCATGTTGCATCTTGCATGTTGTTATTGCAAAACAGCTTTTCCTCTCATGCACATGGAAAAGAGCCTCACGTGTTGCGGGCCCTACCACAGACAAAGGCTGGTAATAAGCAGTTATTGTGAGATGGTGGAGCAAACTTTGTTCCATCCTTGTTATGTTTTTGGCTGCTATTGCATTATTATTCCACAGACTCCTGAAACCTAGCAGTGTTTTATAGTGGATTCTTCTGTGTAACCCTACTCCCTCTGGAATTTCACATAGATGCACAGGTAGAAGCTATTCCTAGAATAAAAAAACTGCATTAGTATGCGTCTCATACAGCAGGAGATATGACCCGCCTCTATTCACTGCTTCTCCCTTTAGATCCTTACCCTTGCCCTTATCCCATGTTTCTTGTTTTTTCATTTTTAACTTTCCCCTTTTCTGCTGTCCACTCTTCCAGCATCCCTTTTCCTTCTCCAGGGATGTCGTGCAGTGAGTCAAATGGCACCAGGCCTCTCTGTTAACTGCAGAGCAACCCCTCTCCTTCTCCCTCTCCCATAGTGTCTCAATTTTGCAGCTACAGCAGTACAAACCACAGGAGACAGCCAATCTGAACTCCAACCATAATTTTAGGAATTTGTACTGGGTCCCTGACTTCTCATTTACACCTCCATAGGCTCCTGAGCCTCCAAAATCCATCGTTAAATTAGACGAGCGAAATGTGGGAAGAAACTAAGAACTGCTGAGACGGACAGACTCCCCTGGGGACTGAATGCTGGAAAGGAGAAACCAGAGTCTCAGAGCCTTGATTTTCCTTCAGGATGATGATGTTTAATGGCAAAGCTGAGGTAGAGTTTTCTATTTACATCAATCAGTCCTGGCTGGCCTAGGAGGACCTTTGAGGCTAGCATGGATAAGGCACACCAGCTTCTATGGTCTGTGGGGCATAAGGGAGAGAGATGGCCAGCATTCATGCCCGACAACTTAGCCCAAATAGCCATGTTTCTATTTTACAGCCCAGTTGGGTAAGGGTGGCTTTCAGCAAAAGTTAGGAGTGAGGCTCAAACTCCTGTCTCCAGAACAGCAGTGAGATACCTTCACCAGTCTGCTACCATTATCCCTATTTATGCCATCATAAAAACTTATTTTTGTAGCTACAATACTAAAAACTTAGGAAATGTGAACTCCAACCCAAAATATTGTCTGGGATTTAAAGGTTATATGCAGACTCCCTTTTCCTTGACATTTTGTCCCCGTTAAATATCACCAATTGCCAAACCCTGATTCTTGGGACACAAGTCCTTTTATGAAGGTGAAGTTTTGCATGGGAGATAGGGAAGTATTACTTTCTTTCCTTGTACAGTCCCTGCTAAGTGGTAAAGCATATTGAAGAGCCACTGACAAGCAAGCTCTATACGTCCACCTGTAAAACTGCTGACATAAAAAAGTTCAGACATGCTCCAGTGCTTTGGTCACAAGAATGCCCCTGCTCACCTTCTTGCTGACCTAAAGACTTTGGCCTTCAACACCCCTCATCGACTCCTGTGGCATTTACCTGTGGGGAGAAAGAATTCATTTGTTCAGACTGGACAGGTTGTTTGAATTTTTCATCCAACAATCGAAGCAGGAAGAAGTCAGGATGGCCACTGAATTATAAAATCATTAAAATAACTCACTGGCAGGAGTTGGAATGGGCATCACTTACATAACAGGGGGTTGCAAGAAGTGAAAGGTTGGTTTCATGGTTAAGGCAGTTAGGCTGTCCCCCGGTGAGTTGGATATTATCCCTGCTTCTGCCACAGCACTTCTATGTGGTGGTGGGCAAGTTGCATTAACCAACCATTCACACATTCTTCAGTTTCTGGTTGCTCACTTAAGATCCCCGAGGTATGACTGGCAGAAGTGCTGAACACTCGCAGATGCAACTGAAGTCAACAGGAGATGGGCTTTCAACATATAAAGTTGCCAGTACTCTTAATCACGTTTGGTACTCAAATTAGTGTCTCCTTTTGCTATTAATCTAAGTGTTTCAGTTCCCCATTTGTAAACTGAGCACGAGAATAGCCCCTCATCTGAAAGAAAAGTCATTGTGCGTTAACATTTGTAAAGCACTTGGATGCGGTAGCGGTAAGTACTATTGAGAAGACCACGAGGCAGTAAAACACTGACTAGCTGCTACCCAAGAGAGCAACAGCCATCAGTACCCTGACTGAGACTTGTTGAAAAAAAATACTGTAATCACATAATTGAAGACTATAATGATGCTTACGCACAAAGCAGCTGAATTAAGTTTATGGGAAACGTTAATTCTGGCATTTCCCAAATTTTCAGTGCTTGACTTTGTAACCTTCATGTTCTTCTAATGTCAATTTTGCCTGTCATTATTGTGCTACCCTGGATACCAGCTAAAGCTATGTTTGTGGCTCTTGCTGGCAGGTAGCCATATAACAGAGAAGAACCGGCTTTTTACTTACAGATAAGGGAGTTGCATTTTCAATTCACATGGTAGGTGCTTTCACTTGCCCTGCTGATGACGAAAGATATCTTTACTACATACATGGTCACGAATTTGTTATACCGTGTTCACTGCAACAGGCCTCTTCTAGTACTGCATTAGAGCTTAATTGTTAAGCACAGTCCCCTGTGCAAGCCTCTATCCCATTTACTGGATACCACTGCTTTCCAGGACATTTCGGAGGGGTGACTGGTAACACCTGGACAAGTTTCCACCTTTTGTTGTTATAGGTCACGGACTCAGACTGTGGTCCATGGTCACTAATGGACCAGAGTCCATTTGTGACCATGTTGTTGTAACTGTTCATCCATCTGTTGTAATCATTCATCCATCTGGGTTTTTTTTTCCTCTGGGAAAAAAAAATGACCAAGAGGGGAAAAGGCAACATTCCCAATGGTTCTTTAAACTGTGATGATAGCAGGCTCCAATCTGCTGATTCCAGGAAGCAAGAGTGTTCCCTGTTCAGACCCAGTCCAACCCCGGCCATAACTTCTATGGCACCACTGGATGGGGACCTCTGACCACAAGCTCTGCAGGGCAAAGCCTGTTGTTTCTATATGTATGTTGTACAGGGTCCAACACAGAAAGTTCTTGACCTACATGAGGCCTCTAGAGCCCAAGTGATAGAAACAACACCCATCAGGACACTTGATAAGAACTGTTTGCTGGATGGGTCCCTAGGTATTATTGGACCATACATTTCTCCAGTCCTGCTGTGACCTGTAGTATGCAGCCCGCAGTATTCATGTAATAGAAGATGCCTAACAGAGAGCATCCTAATATGGTACTCCACAAATGCCTCTTCTTTCCCAATGGCTGGATGTTGATTGCCTGCCTTCTTAGGCCCATCAGAAAGTAATCATGGGCTCTCTCCATTTACGCTGACAAACGAGAAGCCAGGGCTGTCTTTTCTTAGCTCCCCCCTTGATCTCCTTGCAAACGTATTATTTTGAAATCTTCCCTTCTTAGCCCAGATTTATGATGTCAAATGCCTAGGGGAATAGGAAAAAAGGACATTATAATGTTATATACCTGTTAACCAAGGTCGGATATTACACAGCAATGGTCTTTAAAGGTGACCTCCAAATGATATAGATGCTCACTAGTCAGAACAGGGATTTCTAGATCGGGAGGTGGATAGAAGATACTAAAAAGGTACAGGATGGGCTAGGCCATGAAATAGCATGTTTTGGCAGCATTTGGAGGTGGGGGCTTCGGCTACAGACACTCTCTTGTGCCTGGGTCATAACAGCCACCTTCCTGCCTCTGACTGGAGGTGGGTCATTCCAGCCTGCAGCCAGAAAAGGTTGTCTACCCCTGGGCTATGCAGTAACACTGGCTTTCTCTATCCATCGTTTTTTGTCTCTTGACAGCAAATTAGCCACGTATCTACTCCAATCTGATCCTACGATCTTCTGGCAACGAGCTCAGCTGCTCGTTTTGTGGCGCGGTCATCAAGAAACCCGTCTTCTGCCCTGGTATGATGAACTTCCAACGCAAGCACGCAGGATTCAATCCCAGAGTCCCTAACGAGGTCACACTTAGTGTCATGGTGCCATAACTCTTCCTCCACAGGTAGCTTGTGCCCACATCTCAACTCTCAATGTTCAGAAAGGCAGTTTCACAGGCTAGTTTCTAACAGGCTCCCTGGGGCAGGGGTCACGTGAATAATGTCTGGTTCGAGAGCTGGGGCACATGACTTAATGAGGAGAGGCAGAGGGAACTGGGCTTTAGGCTGAAAAAGAGAAGACAGGGAGGATTTAATTGCAGCCTTCAACTGCCTGAAGGGTGGTTGCAAAGAGGAGGGAGCTGGGACTGTTCTCAGTGGGGGCAGATGAACAAGGAGCAATGGGCTCAAGTTGGAGCAATGGGCTCAAACTGCAGCAAGGGAAGTTGAGGGTAGATATGAGGAAAATCTCTCTCAGGAGGAGGGTGGTAAAGCTCTGGAACAGGTTATCCAGAGAGGTTGTGGACTCTCCATCCTTGGAGGTTTTTAAAACCTAGGTAGACAAAGCCTTGGCTGGGATGATCCAGTTGGGGATGGTCTTCCTTTGAGCACAGAGCTGGACTAGATGTGATCTCCTGAGGTCCTTTCTAAGCCTAATTTTCTATGATCCTATGAGTCTGTGAGGTCTATAGAAAGAATTACTGCTGAAGACAGGTCAAAATAGAAATTAACTGCGTAGGAGCTGAGAAATGGTCACTTGACCATGTCGCAAAGGAGAAACATAGATTTTCAACTGCAAACATTTCACGAAACTGGGATCCAATATTCTCATTAATCGATGGCCTGGTCAGAAGGAGACGTGATGGGAAAAAGCGATGACTGGTATAATCCAACGTAAAGATTAGGACACACTGTGTCCTAATCTTAGCCACAGGATGGCTTGAAGGACCATCCTGCATGGAAAAAAAATGTCAAGAAAAGCAGAACAAAACATCATTCCTGGTGATTTCCTAGTCAGGATTAAACACCCATCCTTACAGGTGGTTTATTTTACTTTGATTTAAATAGTTATAAAAAGGATGCCTGGTACCAGAGCTATAGGCATCCAACATTCGTCTTCCAACATAACATAGCCAGAAACACTTTAGAAAGCTAATTCAGATAAACCTGTTTCTCTTACCTCTACTCAGACAGTGTCAGGTCACTTCTTTTCTATCCCTCATCCTTGGAAGAGCTTGCCCTCAACGCCGGCTAGATAGCCACTGGTTGGTGGTCAGCCTTGTACTGGAAGGTTAGCAGTTCGTTTTGTGTTGGTTATACTTTTATTCGAATCAATTGTGATATATTTCCATCAATCGGGTTATATATATATATTTATTAAAAATACCAAAACTTTCTTACCATGGCAAAGAAATTCGTTCTGCTCCAGAACCTGCCCTTTGGCACGGCTGCCATGTCTGGTCACGTGAAGATAATGTTCTCCTTGACCCCTCCAACGCAGAGGGGTCCTTCTCTGTGTAGGACCCATCCCTGAACTCTTCTTCCTTGTAAATCTTCCTCATCTCTCCCACATTAACTTCCCGACCCCATGATTTCACCTTAAGTGGCTGGCAGATCTATACTCGTCTGCCAGCTGCTTCTGGGCTCTCAGCCAGCTTTTCTCCACCCACAGCCTTTGCTGTTGAAGGGGGATGCATGGCTCATGTTGCTTTCTGGGCTGAGGGAGGTGGCTCACATCTGGTGGGTTGGCTGAGGAAGGGTTTTTGCAAGGGAGAGGAGGAGGAGAAACCAATTGGGGTTCATTGCAGACATGAGGCCGCACTCGCTCTAAACTTTTAGTAGCTGAAGGATTTGTGTCTACATCCTGTCACACTGTGTCACCCTCCCAAGCAAAATCCTATGCAGGAGCCAGTTCCAGAGGGAACCAAAGATTCGAGGGCTAAAAGGACAGTTGGACCCAAACCTGCTGTTTGGGAAGAAAAGTGTTGCTGGATTTAATATCAACAGAAACACCATCATGGCTTTTTTTTTTTTTTTTTTAATTAGAACAGGTCTGGGCTGGTATTTTTGTTTGAAACCCAAATACCTCAGCTTTGTGCTAAGACAGGAGGACCAAATCAAAAATGACCAGACAGGACTGCGGAAGTGACTAGCCCGAGGTGGTCAAGGAATCTGGAAGTAACACGGACGTGACGTAAATCTGAAAGGGATTCTTAAAATGTCCACGTTAATAAATGAAAATGTGTTTTAAGGGAAAGAATCTCAAACCTCCTGATTTCTTTTCTCAGTTCTCTAACTTGCTGGGTGACTTATTCAAATCAATAGCTTGGCGATAATTTCTGCTCAATCACAGACCCTCAAAGACCATCTGATTGATGCAGAGCAGGGATGTCAAACTCATCTGCTTCCTTTGGCCAGATCCAGGCTGTGGCATCACGGCTGTATCTTCACAGGCTGTATTTGGATGCAGTAGCACAACTGGAGACGATTGCTGAAGGGGTTAATGCAGCTGTTTTTCACTAGAGGTGCACCAATACATTGGTCCCATATCGGATCAGCACCGATATAAGGAAAACTGACGGGTATCGGCAACTGGCTGTTTTTGGTTGATGTGGCCGGTAACGTGCAGATAAATGCCCTGTTCATGTGCGCAGCCACAGCGCAGTATGCAGGCGCCCAGCCTGGCAGCATGGAGAGCAGTCGGGTCCGGCTGGTCAGTCTGCTGCGGGGGAAGGGGCGGGGGGAGGGAAGGGGTGCCTGCCCCACTCCCTCCCTCACCGCGGGGGCCTTGATCTGCCCCCCTCCCCTCCCCCGGCCCCTTCTCTCACAACAGATGTACCAGCCGGAGGCTGCTTTCCATGCTGCCAGGCTGCATATTGGCATTCGGATCGGTATCGGCTGATATAGCTCAATAAAAATCACCCATCAATATCAGCTGTAAAAATCTCTATCAGTGCACCCCTATTTTTCACCCTTGCTGTTAAAATGTGCCCCCCGTGGGGTTCCAGACTATGGGTTTTGGCAGTAGGCCCCACCCCAGCTCTCCCTGCCACTGAATTTCCCAACCCAACTGGGAGCCCCCCCTGGTCAGACAACATGCCCATGGCCATACGTTTGATACCTCTGCTATAGAACGTAGATCCTGCGTGGACTTGACACCACAAAGCACAAGAGCCTTGCACTTTGGCCTGGCACAAAGCAAACCCTGGTTGAAAATGTTTTCCCCAGCCTGTTTACATATATAAATACAAGAGATGGGCAACAATATCCTGAGCTGTGAATAAAAGCATCAGAATGAAACCATGATGACTGGAAAACATCCTGCTGAGATGATGGGTAGCCATCCCATAGTACTGCCAGCGACTTTTCAGAGGACTGTTTTACAATCTTCCTTCAAAATTTCAAGGTAACTTGCACAGGCTCTTCAAATTTCCAGGATAACTTGGCTAAATCACATGTGGGTGAAACCTTATGTCCAAAACAACTTTCCACAGAACAATCTCACTCTCTTACGGCAATTGTGTTGTGATTTACACAATGACATTGCCCAATGAATTTGCACTGAAATAAGAAGAGTGGAGTTTCATTCTGCTTCATTAGAAAGAGAGGTTTGTATTATTAGGACTCACACTCAGAACACAATGGAAATTCTTTAAATTTAGCTGGCAGTTGAATAGGAAAGCCTGGAGAATGATGCTAAAAGCCATGGAAGTCCGAGACAGTTTGGAAGACTGCCCATGGCTGGTTCAGACCCAGTAGCTTCAGCAGGTATTGGGAAGCATCAGCCAAAAGTGTGTTTCCTATGATAAAGGGGTGGTGAAGGTTATGCAGGAATCCTCCCCCAACTTTTTTCCTGAGACAGGAAAGGCAAAGACAAGAATTAAAAATAACCAGTTCCTGATTTTATTGGAGAAAAGACTGCCCTATGAACCTTTGACAAATAATCACAAGTTGGCTAGGCTACCTGTGTTACAGCTATCTTTCATTTATCCAGTAGTCTAATGTTGAGTTTTATACTAGTTACCATTGTTTCTAAACACCTTATAAATAACCTCAATAGCAAAAGCAGAGTCCCTAATGGATTGTATGGCATCTCTGGTATTTCTGCCATTAGGGGATCCACCCACAACCTAGTTTCTTCTCTAAAATGATGCAACTGTTTTCTTTACCTGTTCCATTCCAACCCAAGAACTGAACTCCCAAGACAATGTGCACTACATTGGGCTTTTAGAAAACCACATTAAAACAGGGAATTATGAACATTATTTTGGTAATTTTTGTTTAAACCCCCCCCCCAAAAACTTGCCTAACAAGAGCTTTCTATTTTTCAGCTTTTTGTCAGGTACTCTTTGTGTTATTTCATTATTAAAAACCTGTTAAGCTCCCATGGTATGCTTGGCACAGCATAAGCATTTCTTTGATTATTAGAGTTCCTAGAAGATTTGCAGTTGAAGGAATGCTGTAGACCAAGGGGTGTTTTTCATGGTTTTTTTTCCCTTAAACGTTACACAACTGCTGCAAGGTATCAAAAGTTGAATAGGACAGATGTGCAGAGATGGCTGAGTTGCAGTATCTGATAAGCGCATTTAGAGAATGTCATTAAATCTATTTCTCATCTAAAAATATAGCATCTTGATGGCTGTGGTTATGTTTTTTTTTACAGGGTTCACTCTTAAAAAGACAACAATTTAGGATACATTAAAAAAATGTAAAAATTTAAAAAAGAGAAAAGTAGTTTCAGGGGTCTCTCTCTCTCACTCTAAGTCCTCCTTATTTTCTAGCCTTACCATTAAATATTTTCTCTGTTTTTTTCCCCCACTTCACCAGTGTTCTGCAGAAGATCCGTACAGACAACAATACGAGAAACTTGGGAGCAAATGCTGGAAAACTGATCTAACTTTATCCTGGCCATGTAGATGGTCCAATAACAGGTATCACCAAAAAAAAAATTCATGCCTCTCAAAATACAGTAATATTAGTTCAGAAAATTTTGAAAATCATCATGAAAATTTTGATTCTCGCAGTCTTAAGCTCACTCCATCTGGGGAAAAACAATCACTCTTTATACCCTCTCTCCAACATAGTGCTGCTTTCCATTAAATTTGGGGCACACATTTAATATAGAAGACCTAAATCAAAACCTGGTGACGTAACAAAATGATTCATCAAATTCCACAGATTATGTTAACCTGGATTGTGAATATTTGGGATTCTCTTACCTCTGTTTAGATGAGCATAGTAGATATGATGTCGATGTATGGTGTTGCAGATCCCACACATGTGCTGAGTATATCAGCAACTTTTGAACCAGCAATGCAGTTCGCCTAACAATTCATTTGTCGGTAACAGTTCAAGGTTCTCCTTTTGAGATCTGCATTATCAAAAATTCACACGGTGCAATTCCCCAATCACTATAACCGATTTCAAATGGTGCTAGAAAATAGTATGGACTCTGAACACCAAAAGAAATCAGTCATCCTCTAAAGGGGTTACTGAGACCTGTAGGAAAGAACAACCTACATTGTGTAATACAATAAAATAGAATACAGTACTTTACATCTAAGGATCTTGAGGCACAACTTGAGATGCAACTGGCAAGGGACATAAAAGGGAATAAAGAGGGATTCTTCTAATGTATGAGAAGTAAAAGGAAGACAAAGGAATGTGTAGGTCCTCTGCAGAAGGCAACCTAGTTATGGATGATGCAGAGAAGACCGATTTAATGCCTTTTTTACTTCAGTCTTCATAAGTAATGTCAACTAGATCATTGGTTTTCAGCTAGGGGGTTAATTTGCAGCCCCCTGCCCAGTTGCTGCCTCCCACACTGTTGCAGCTGCAAGGGCAGTTGGACTCCCTGAGCTCCCCCCTCCCTTCTCTAGCTTTTGCTGCCTGCTCCCACCCCTGGGGTATAGGGCAGTGTGGCAGGGGGAGCTGAGGACAAGCGGGGTGGGGGTGGGGATGGAGGACAGGGGAAAAGGAGGGGGAGGGAAAGGCTGCATAGGTGCACAGTGCAGCAGTGGGAGGGGTGCATGGATACACAATGCAGCAAATGAGGGAGTGTCCATGTGATGTGTGGCCCAGGGGTGGGGGAGGCATGGCTTACTTACGGCCTGCAAGCATGCACCCCGTGACGGTGTGGTCCACAGGGTGATCAGCCCCCAGCTACTTAGAAGCTGTACATCCCTGCATTAGAACATGAGCGCTGTTGGCAGCTAAGACAAGGAGGGGGACAAACTATCCAGTAGTAGAAGAAGGGGTTAGGTATTACTCTGAGAAGATAGATATTCTCAAGTCTGCAGGGTTGCATGGAATACAGCATAGAGTACTGAAGGAACTAGCTGAGATAATTTCAGACAGTGGCCATCCCCTTTGATAAACTGAAGAGTTCAGGTAAGGTTCCGGATGACTGGAAATGGGCAAGTATAAATGTCCATGTTTAAGAAAGGGAAAGAAGAGGAAACAAAGAGTTATAGAGCTATCTGCCTGACCTTGATACCTAGAAATATCATGGAGCTGATCTGCAAAGAATCTATTGTGAAGCACCTAGAGGAGAACAAGGTGATCAGGAACACCCAGGTGGGTTCACCAAGAGCAAGTCATGGGCCTGACCAATCTGATATCTTTCTACAATAAGGTGACAGGCTCCATGTTTGGGAGAGAGCAGTGGATAAGATATACCTAGACTTTGGCAAGACATTTGACAGTCTCCCACAGCGTTCTCCTCAATAAGGAAATACAAATTAGAGTAAAGTACTGCAAGTGATTACATAAGTGGTTGGATCATCATGCTCAATGAGTAGTCATCGCTGGCTCAATGTCAAATGGGGAAGAAGTATCAAATGGGGTTCCCCCAGAGTCTGTCTTGGGTCCTACATTGTTTAAAATCTTCATTAATGATTTGGACAAGGGGATTGAGTACATGCTTAGCAAATTTACAGGTGACACCAAAATGGATGGAGTTTCAGACACCCTGGAAGATAGGGCTAGGATCTAGCATGACCTGGAGAGAATGAAAAAGCAGTCCAAAAATCAATGAGGAATGACTCAACAAGGACAAGTGCAAAATACTGCACTTGGGATGGCATAATGGCATGCATAAATACAGACTGCAGAACAACTGGCTAGTTACAGTGAACCATATGCTGAGTGTGAGCCAACAATGTCTCTTGTTGCAAAAAAAAAAGCCTACAGCATACTGGGTTGTATTAACAGAGATGTCTCTTACAAATCAAGGAAAGTGATTATTTTGCTCTATCTGGTACTGGTGAGGCCTCACCAGGAGTACTGTGTTCAGTTTTGGCCTACACTTCAAGCAAGATATGTACAGATTGGAAAGAGTCCAGCAGAGAGGGACAAAAATGATTAGAGGCCTGCTAAACATCATTTATGAAGAGAGGCTAACAGAACTTGGATTATTTGGTCTGGAGAAAAAAAGACTGGGGTGGGGAAGGATTTAATAACAGGCTTCAAATAACTGAAAGGCAATTATACACAGGATGGAGATAGACTTTCTCTGTGACTATAGGAGACAGGACTGGGAGCATTGGCCTTAAATTGCAGCAGGGGGGACTTAAGATGGATATTAGGCAGAATTTTCTGATGATGAGAGTACTCAGGCACTGGAACTGGCTTTCTAGAGAAGTTGTGGACTCTCCACCCCGGAAATGTTCAAGAGCAGGTTAGACAGGCACTTGACTGGGGTGTTTTAGTTAAGGGTGATCCTGCCAAGAAGGGGGCTGGATTTGATGACCTAATGGGGTCCTTCTAGCTTACTTCTATAGGGTCCGATGATCTCACAAAATCTCACTCAGGTATTTTAAACACTATCATGTTTTGAATCTTATAGGTACATAATACTTTCATCCATTTTAATAGATAAGATACAAATTGTTTTACAAGGACAGAGTAAGAACTAGTAAAGTAAACAGTAACAACAACGCACTTAGACCTGTAAAGAACATAAAACAAATGAGAGAGTCATCCTGGAGAGCTAACAGTCCAGGATAAAATAGGTTAATTCAATTGATAATATAACAGTTGGAACAACAGTGACAAATTAGGTCTAAAAAGTTATGCTGTAATTCCACGTGGTGCTTCATTATCTTACCACCAAGTTCAGAGTCTACAAATGTTACAAATACACTGTTGCTTGGTATGATGAACAGTGGAAATCTGCGTGTCCAACAACAAATTGGAACATCCTCATATGGTTCAGCTAAACCATAAAGTCTTAAATACAGGCCTGGCTGGACAAACCTACTACGAGCATGTAGAGAGGTCCTGATTTCTTCGTCTCGTACCGTCAAGGTTCCTCAGACAAAAGGGCAGCCATTCTTCCTCCAAGAACACTGATTTCAAATGGTGCTAGACAATAAGTAGTTAAATCTAAACCACCATATGAAACCAGCTTCCTGAAGGAGCTTTAGATCATTTTCTAACTAAGACGCCCTGTTACTACAATGAACTTGATGTAACCTAAAAACAAAAACGAACACTGCGTTTTGGTTTTGTTTCCTTTTCATTAAAGAGCTTGCAAATGTTAACGTTCTTACCTCCCCACTCTGGTTCAAACCATCCAATGAAGATGTTTCTACATGTTTTAATACCATTACCCATGGAAAGAGAATAAAGTCAAAGATGTATACAACAGACTCATCTGGCAATCAAAAAATTGTTGGACAGGCAGGGTAGTTGGTTAATTTACCACTATCGATGTTGAACAGGTCCTGTTAATTTTCAGGTTGCTATCAGAGGTAAGGCATTCCAAGTAACAAAGTAATGACCATTAACGAGGTGCGAACAGCCCACCAGTGGCTAAGTGCTGGGTCTCACTAACAGCATAACTGTTACCAATAAGGTGTGAAAAGGCAAATCAGTCAGCATGTTTTAATCTGCATCAACAGTTCCTCTTACACTAAAATCAATGGTATTTGATACGGTAATCCCCCCGTCCTTTTCTGCAAAGCTGCTGCCCAGCCAGTGCGGGTGCCTGGGACTGTTCTGACCTCAGTGCAGGACTTTGCACTTGTCCTTACTGAACTGCATGAGAGTCTTTTTGATCCAATCCTCTGATTCGTCTAGGTCACTCTCAATCCTAGCCCTACCCTATCTACTACTCCCCCCAGCTTGGCGTCATCCGTGAACCTGCTGAGGGTGCACTCCATCCCATCTTCCAGATCACTAATGAAGCTATTGAACAAAATTGGCCCCAACACCGACTCCTGGGGCACTCCACTTGATACTGGCTGCCAGCTAGACACTGAGCCATTGATTACTACCCATTAAGCCCGACACTCCAGCCAGCTTTCTATCCACTTTACAGTCCATTGATCCAACCCGTACTTCCACAGATTGCTTACAAGAATGCTGTGAGAGACGGGATCAAAAGCCTTGCTAAAGTCAAGGAATATTATGTCCGTTGCTTTCCTCGCATCCACTGAGCCAGTCACTTCATTACAGAAGCCAATCAGGTTGGTCAAGCATGACTTGCCCTTGGTGAATCCATGCTGACTGTTCCTAAACACCTTCTTCTGCTCCAAGTGCTTAGAAATGGATTCCTTGAGGACATGCTCCATTATTTTTCCAGGGATTGAGGTGAGGCTGACTGGTCTGTAGCCCTGGATCCTCCTTCTTCCCTTTCTTAAAGATGAGGACTATATTTTCCCTTTTCCACTCATCTGGGACCTCCTCTGATCGCCATGAATTTTCAAATACGATGGCCAGCCGCTCTGGAATCACGTCAGCCAACTCCCTCAGCACCCTTGGTTGGGTTGCCTAAGGCCCCAAGAACACGTCCAGCTTTTCTAAATAGTCCCTAGCCTGTTCTTTCACCACAGAGGGCTGCTCACCTCCTCCCAGGTTATGCTACCACCAGGTGCAGTAGTCTGGGAGCCGACCTTGCCTGTGAAGACTGAGGTAAGAACGTCATTGATACTTCAGCCTTTTCGTCTTCACCTGTCACTAGGTTGCCTCCCCCATTCAATAAGGGACCCACACTTTCCCTGATCTTCCACTTGTGGCTGACATACTCGTAGAAAACCGTTGTTGCCCTTCACATCCCTTGCTAGCTGCAACTCCAATTGTGCTTTGGCCTTCCCGACTTCATCCCTGCATGAAGCCATCCCTACATGGCTCAGTCTTGTCCACGCTGCAGAACTGCTTAAAGTATTTAAAACATTACCATTTTAAGCAGAACCTGCAAACATGATAGAATTCCATAATACTGATGAATCGTTGGGGGAGGACTTATGGGATTATTTATCACTATGTTTAAACCCAGATATTTCTAGCCAAGTTCCTTTGTGGCTTCCCTTGCTTTTATGGAGGCACATTTCTTTTCGACTATGAACCTTGTAATCACAGAATCATAGAAAAGTAGGGTTAGATGGGACCTCAGCACGTCATCTAGTTCAACTAAGGCAGGATCACCCCTGTCAAAACCATCCTAGGCAAGTGTTTTTCTAACCTATTGTTAAAACTGCACAAAAAATCCTTGCTCACGGAATCAATAACCAGTTAGTGGGGTGGCTGACTATCAACATGTTGTGTTGCCATGTGAACAACAGAGTTTATCATTTCACTTCAGTTTCCTTAATCTGGCGACTGTACACTTGCCAGAGGTTCAGACTGGCATGTTACTGTCTCCCTTGTAACAATGTTACCTTGCTGCAGGTTATAATTGTGCTTTCCTATGCAATCAGTTTGGCCAATCTCCCTTCCTGTCAACACTGCACTAGGAAACACAGCCCATGTTCCACCACACTGCGCGCTGGGTAATTAATTTCCTGATCACGTACTGTAAAACAGCACACCAGCTTCTCCCAAAATACACAGCTTGGTAGTGTAGAAAATGATGAAACCAGGTTATAAGCCAGTCTTTCCATTTTAAACGGACCCCCAGTGAAATCTCGATAAACGTTAAGAGTGTCAATCAGTGGTTCTCAACCTTTTTTGTACCAGGACCCATTCGTAAACTTTAATGGCCAGTCCTGACCCAGTAAATAGTTTACGTAGAAAACATACAAATATTTAGGCCCCAAAATACTTATTACACACTACAGGTTAAAGCAGATCAACAGTCTTAATTTTAAAGACAGAAATCAATGTCAACAGGAAAACATTAACAGCAACGTTAACATGTGGTCCTCCATTACTCCCAAGTGACTTGATTCTATGATTCAGCATTGTGCAATTTGAACAAGCAAATTGCCGGTGCCCCTCACCCCGACTTGCAGCCCCCGGCCCTGCTGGTGCTCCTCAGTCCCAACCCACAACTCCCAGCCCCCTGATCCTGCTGGTGCCCCTCAATCCCGACTCACTGCCCCCGCTCCTAGCCCCCCAGGGTGTGGTATGGGGCGGTGGGAGGGATGCCCACAGAGGGTATGGGGCTGCAGCCTGGCTGGACCGGCACAGGCAGGAGGTGCCTCTGCAGCTCAGTAGATGGGACCCAGAGTGGGGCATCAAGACTCTTTGCAGCTGCTGCCATCACCACTGCCAGGACCCCCATGCCAGCCACACCACCAGCAGTGCGACGAGTTAACTGATCAGGGGAGTGACGCTGCCCTCCCCTCCTCCTGCCACGAGACGCGTGCACGATGGGCCACGGCGCTACCCCACTGTCACAGCGTGGTCACTGCTGCTCCCTTCAGGTTGCCGGCACTACCTGACACCCCACCTCCCCTCTGGGGTAGAGCTGCGGCTTGAGGGGAGCAATGGTGGTGAAGGCAATGTGATCGCCCTCACCCATTTATTAATCCTCATGCAGTCTAACCAGCTGGCTCTGACTTCCTGCCCACTGGGCTGCAGAGGTGGCTCCTGCCTGTGCTATAGCCCCATGCCCACTGTGGGCACACAAATCGGAGGGGGGGGGCCATGTCATGCATGCGAACCTTTCGTATTGGATAAATAGGAGTCCATAAAATGGATATGAGCGTGCCCTGGTTGCCAAAAAGGTTAACAGCATACTGGGCTATGTTAGTAGGAATGCTGTCAGTAGATCGAGGGAAGTAATTATTTCACTCTATTCTGCACTGGTGAGGCCACATCTGGAGTCCTGTGTCCAGTTTTGGGCCCCCACTATAGAGATGACATGGACATTTGGAAAGAGTTCAGCGGAGAGCGAGGGAAATGGTTAGGTGTCTGGGGCACATGACTTATGAGGAGAGGCTGAGGGAACTGGACTTATTTAGTCTGCTGAAGAGAAGACTGAGCGGGGATTTAATAGCAGCCTTCAACTCCCTGAGGAGGGATTCGAAAGAGGATGAAGCTGGACTGTTCTCAGTGGTGGCAGGTGACAGAACAAGGAGCAATGGGCTCAAGTTGCAGCAAGGGAGGTTTAAGGTGGTTTTAGGGAAAACTTTCTCACTAGGAGTGTGTTGAAACACTGGAACAATTTACCCAGAGAGGTTATGGACTCATCCTTGTAGATGTTTTTAGACCCAGCTTGACAAAGCCTTGGCTGGAATGATCTAGTTGGGGATGGTCCTGCTTTGAGCAGGGGTTGAGTTAGATGACCTCTTGAGGTCCCTTTTGACCCTCATTTTCTGTGACTCTTGAAACATACTGAAGCCTTGGGCTTTGTCCTACTGTTGCATGATTCAGGTTCATTCGATCTCTTCTGTATTGTAAAACCAAAGTTGGTTTTAAATGCAGCTAGAAGTTCCATGATGAAACCAATTTGCTCAGCACCTGGAAAAGACAAAATATTAAAGGGCATCTAAGATAGAGCAAACAATAATCTCCTAGGGATAATCTAAAATTCTCAGTCAAAAATCCCTCTCCATGATGGCAAAGGAACCAGGTAAAAGCCTAGAGCTAGTTACATCTGTGCTGTATCTACAGGATGTTATTCACACACCAGGATTTGGGTCTTGGGATCTGGATATCAGCATTCTGTAAATTCATGCAAGCAAATTAATTACCTTGTTTGAAGGCAAAAAACATGTTTCATGGGTTGTACTATAATTCTGAATGTTTCATTACCCACTGCAAAAGGGTAATGAAAAACATCCTCAAATGAAGGTTGTAAATTCAAACTGTAATACTGAGGTGCAGATACAGAGATAGCAGTTCATGATGTTCTCTGATAACGAGACCTCCTTATTTCCTGTATGGTCTTTAAACCGCTGACTAATATCCCTTTGCTGTTTCTCTTGGAACTGATTGTGTAAAAGGGGACAAATGCATTTCCTTATAAACTGGAGTGGGGTTAATTCCAGTTCAGTTTAAACTGAAGCTTAGTAAAAAGGGTTTTAAAAGCAGCTGTCTGCAGAAATAATAGTTTCCACATGAAGGACTCATATGACTAGATACAACCACTGATAAGGAGTCTTGCTGGTAATGCTTTCTATTTGTGAACACTAAAAATAATGTTCCAGAGTAAATACTCTAAACAAGATGTCAGTAATTTTGGCCTTGATTATTTTAAATGGGTACATAAATTTATTCCACTCCAACATGACTAGTCACATAAGTAATGTTATGTACCTATATAAATCACTGTAATATTGAGGCCTATGACTTGTTTTTACTGCTCAACAATTCCGTTAATTTACATGTGGTTAAGAAGCATTCAAGACCTCTACAGCTGGGCATTCATCTTCCCTGAAAAAGAATTCCTGTGGTTAAATTCAAAGTAAGATATAAACCACCACTTTATTTTTACTTATGCAAATGAAAATTGTGTGCATTACAAAATGTGACTCCAAGATTAACCATACAGAACTTTTGCTAGCAGCAATTTGGAAACGTTTCCCCAAAAAAGCAACATTTCCATATGGGAAATTCCTAAAAAATGAGCTTTATTGCTTCCTGTTCAAATGTTTCTTATCAGGAGATGTGTAAATGCACTTTTCTAGACTTTTGCCCACTGCAGCTTTAGTTGATTCAACCAATAAGATATTGAAATAATGATTCCCCCAAAATTGTAGAAACAGAAAAATAGGGGTAGAAGAGACCACCCCTTGCTCAAGGCAAGATTGTCCACGTGTAAACCATAAGCACTGTAAGAACTGTGTCAGATGAACCATTCAATTTTTGTTACGTAAATTTTTTTTTAAATATGGCACCAATGAAAGATTTTATATTGATAGCTCTGCAGAAGTCCTTTATTTTTTCAGAGAAGAGATATGGTATGGGAAATGGTAGTGTGGGCTCCCAACATTTCTCTTCAATATATCTCCTTCCTGACAAGAAAGGGAAGGCTCTGAGAACACAATTTTATTGTGAATTTGGCCCTTTGTGGAGATACCAATTAATGCCAACTTTGCTCTTGGTTTTGTAATGTAGTTCTATTGAGACAAAGTCATTTCACAAAAGATTTAATTAAGCAAGCAGTAATTTTCGGTAGTTTCCGACCTGGACTCAAACAACAAACATACAAGTAAAAATGTTCCATCTTGCCTTCCCTGACCTATTCATTCCCCATTGGTTTCCCACTTGCCTACTTCAGTATTAAGAAAGCTCACTCAGCATGTAAGCTGGCATTTTTGACCTATTCAGAAAAACAAACATAGAAAAGTATTTTTATTTTACTAGGTTAAATGAACATTTTCAGGGATACACTCTACTCTTAATATGCATACAAACTCTTCCTGACATTTCTAGATGTGCACGCAGCCAACCTGATTCTCACCGAGATAGTTCCTTTCGTCAAGAAGAAACCTGCCTGAGCAAGCCGAGACAACCTTTTAGCTTCCTAGAAAAAAAAAAAATCAGTGCAGCAAACATTTCAGCGCATGTGAATCACTCACAATAAGTCAGCGCTGAAAAACAAATCAGCAAAACACTTGAAGCAGGATTGAGAGCTTCCTCCTGCAATGAATTGTACACCTTTGACTTCTATAAAAATTAGAGGGTCAAAGCGTGAAATCATTACTCAGCTTTCATTTAGAGCCGAAGCTTCACTGTATCTGATCTATACTTAAAAATCTTTTGCTGTGAAATAATTCCATTATCTTCCAGGTGGCGAGCAGCAGGAAACCATCAAGGCCTCCATAGCTGGGCATTTATATGAGTAAAGAGGTTGTATTTGTTTAAAAATGAAAAGCCAGGAAGAAAAAGGGCTGTAGTTAAAAAGTTAAATGTCATTTGGCAATGATGACGACATGACAAACCATTTGAGTATCCACAATCAAAATTTCCAGACCAATCCACTGTGTGATCAGTGTAGTCAGCTGCATAGCGGACTCATCTCATTCACTGCCTCCTCCCCACAGGAGCCTTTGGAAGTACAGCTCTGTAAGAAGAGGGTAGGATTAGGAACTACAAGCAGTACAGAGCTTTGCAAGAATCCTTTTGATAGACATACCCACTTTGCTGGGTTGTGTTCTCTGAAGCCTTTTCAGACTTACATTACAGAATGCACTTCTTAGGAAAACAGAGGCCTGAGGAAGGATACTGTGATACCGGAAAGTTTGTCTGTACCAGTGGTTCTCAACCTTTTTTGTACCAAGACCTGTCTGCAAACATGAATGGCCAGTCCCAACCCAGTGCCCCTCACTCCCAACCAGCTGCCCCCTGCTCCCTAATGTATGGGGCAGAGGTAGTTGTGTGGGGTATGGGGGCCCCAAGCAGCCCCTTGCAGGCTGGAGCTCTGCCAGCCTGCAACGGAAAACCCCCAGTTTTCTCCTAAGTTTGTGGATCCACTTTTAAAGTTTGTTTGTGACTCTTTCATATATTCTTGCGATCCACTTTTGTATCGCGACGGGCTGAGAAATGTTGGTCTGTATCAATCCCAACCATACAGTTGATCCCATAAAAGATATCACCCACTGGAAGTATTGCCTCTCACATATTTCCTGAACTATCACAGCAACAGCATCACTTCAACACTAGGAAAATAAGAGATCCTTAAAGAACAGACGCATATTTATTACAGCAACAATTGAGTTATCCGTCCTTGAAGCGGTCTTTGGCAGATGGATCACGTGGTACTGAAACTCGTACCCGTTCTGAAGCCGTTGACATCCAAATTGAATCACCATAACCACAAGCATTATTGCAAAAAATAATACACCTGTTAGGTTCCTCGTTAGAGACAAGACACAAACAAATGACAATTTTATAAAAAAGGACTTACTTTTTAATTCAAAACTGTGGAAACAAAGATTTATGCGTCTCATTTTTATAGAGACTGTCCTGGTGAGGAGATCATCACCCAAGATTTAAAATAATAGTCATTGCCCAAACTCAGTGCTGAACACACGCTTAGGGCCATGAAGGACTCAAAATCCGTGGCCACAGTTTTGGTTTCTTGTCCAGTGAAATATCCTGCATCCATTTATACACATACTCGCACATTCATCAAAGCAGAGATTCACAATGGTTTTGAAGCTCTACTTACCTGCAGTTCTGGCTTCACTAAATCCTACACTGCTTAATGAGTAATCATGGTAACTTTTCTGCCAGAGAGTGTTAAAGGTTGCTTGCAAAGGAAAAAACTATTTTGTCCATTTAAAATTTTTTTTATAAGCAAGGTTTGGAAAGGTTTTCTCTTGTGGGAGGGAGGAAAAAAGAAGATTTTTGTTTTTAATTGCTCTGCGCTTTACGATGCAAAATCTTACCCATTTTGGAAGCCTATACATGGGGGAACTAGTAAAATGTGGGGAACTAGTAAAACGATAACAACAGAGGCAGAAAGGTAATCAATTTGAAGAGGGAGGAATTTTTAGTTAGGCTATGTAAAATGTAATTGTTTCATTTTAATGTATTTAACTCCAATTGCTTTTATGCACTTTAAAAAAAATAATCCCTTATTTAATGATTTCAAAATACTCCAATCCTTCCACTAAGGTGTGATAGCTCACAAAATTAAAATAAATGAATAAGTAGAAAAATAAATTTAAAAAATCATTAAAAGACAAAACAAAAAAACTTCTTAGTCCTTTTCTAATACTTGATAAAAAAAGTAAAAACAGAGCACAAATCCTGTTTTTATTTTTTTTAAATCTTTGACCTTCCTCCAACTAAGCAGCACAATGTCAAAGAATACATGGTAGCCATATTCATACTACCTCCTTTCTATCTATCAGGAAACAAAATCCATGAAGAGGCTATGCTCTGCTGATTTACAAGAATAAGGAATTACTTACCTTTCCATTCACAGCAATTTGTAATAGTTTTTTCCCCCCCGTCATATAACCAATTCTCTCCTTTTCATGTATGTAGAGGACTGTCACAAGATCAGCACCTGGAATGCAAATGAATATGAACAACTTTCATTTTGCCCGTATTCCTATAAAATTAGGAAAATTCATATTTCAACCCTAACATTCCTGCAAGCTGTGGTACACTTTCCAAACATGCTCCTTTATTTCAAAACAGAGAAGTACTAAATCAATAAAAACGACTTCCCAAGGTGGCGGCGCAGTCCCCAACCTTGGAAGTCTTCAAGAGGAGAGTGGGCAGACGCCTTGCTGGGATCATTTGGTCTCAGCAGTATTCCTGCCCAGAGCAGGTGGGGTTGGACTCCATCTTTCGAGGTCTCTTCCAGCCCTTAATTTCTATGATTCTATGAATGAGAGACATTTCCCCATTTTGCACGTAAAGGCCAGAGAAATCAGTCTGCTGGCACTTCTTTGATGTTCTGTATTTTAGAATATAGAGCAAGGTATATGCTAACTACCCTTTTTTTCTTAGATAGAATGAAAAGTCATCAAACATATATTCTGAGCATCTTTGGGGTTTTGTCAAAGTATATAATTCAAAACAAAGAAGTACAGTTAAAGAGCCTGGCTATTCTGGTTTGAAGGAAATAGGGATCCCAGCTTTAAGAGATCAGATTAATGGGACAACAGGTCTGTTACCCTGCAATAAACTGAAGGATGTGATAATCTTTGTCCAAATTCTATACATGGCTGAAAGATTCCTTTCCGCCATCTGGATCAACACGAGAATGTCTTGGAACACAACATTTCAATTCTTCATCTCGACATACATAACTGTGACTTGCTTGTTATAATCATCCAGCTTACCTTACTATTCAGCCTGTGTACTGACTCATGTTACTCCACAAAATAAATCATATCAATAAAAGACAGCCTGCTATAAAAAGACTCACGGATGTTAGCATATGCCATGCAATTTATAACCCGATTAGATTAGTGTAACAGTGTTCTGCACAATATACTTTCTCTGAGGACACAAAATGTGTCAGGAAACAAAATCCATTCTAGCGAGGCTAAAGAGGAAAGAAACTAAATTATACTGCAGAATACCTAATTCATCTAAAATTTCTGCATCGGTTCAGAGTTTTCAATACTAGAACAGCACAACAGAAAATACATACAAAATGAATCGTGAATAAACTGAAGCCAGCAACTTCCGCTGGAAAATCTTGAGTTTCCAAACCTGAATCAGCTGCTGACTCCCGAGGCAGATTTTTAAAGATATTTAAAGGTTTAATTCCCACGGTTATTTAATTAATATCATAATCTTATGAGCAGGCAGCAATCTTCCATCCTAAGCTTAGAGTCAACTCCATACTTAGAGGTCAAGATTTTGTCACATTATAGATGTCTTTGAAATAACAGCTCTCGACACAGACAGGCATGTCCAATAGGGATATAAATATTGTTAAAAAAATTATCCGTTTAACCTCCTCTAATTATATTGGTTAAATGGTAACACATAGCTAGCCCCAGGTGACAGATGCGGAGCCCCGGGATGGTGCTTGGTCTACCCCGCCATGGCGGAGGGGTTACGGCTGCCTGCCTGGAGCAGCGGGGGGAGCTGGGGGCTGCACACAGACCTGCTCGGACACAGTTGCTGCTGGGAGCCGTTCCCCAGGGCCTTTGACAGCGGGTCAAGGAGGTGACGGCAAGCCCCGCCAGACAAGGCAGCCCACGTGAAGCAGCGGGAAGCACCAGCAGGCGAGGGGCTTTCCCAGCCTGCTGCAGGTGCCGGCGTGCTGGAGGGAGGGAGCAGACTAGCTATGGGCACTAGTCCCCCCTCACCCTTCCTCCTGCCCATCAAGCGATTTCATGCAGCCTGCAAAGCCAGGATGTCGACAGCAATTCAGCGCCAAGGGGCACTGGTGGTATTTGACAGCAGCCAGGTTGCAAGTGCGTTGGCTAGACTTTCATCTCTGGAGTAGGTTGGCAGTTTCATTCCAGTCCAAGTAACTACTTTTCCAGCATTTCTGAAGTACTAGATGGGATAAGATAATTAAATAAAAAGTACATCTTTGCATTTAAATAGCCTTTTCCGTCAAAGACTTCACAGTCCTAAAACAAAGTGCAAGAGAAGAAAACTGCTGGGTTTTCTTTACTTTTTCGTGAAGTAACTGAATTACTTGAGAGATGTGTTCGTCCTTCTGGCTGCAGTCTAATTTTTCTACCTCTCCATATTAAACACGTTTAGGCAGGACAAGTTACAGTTTAAAACTGAAACGTTTATTAGAGCATGAACTTTTTCCAAGAAAAAGGGAGAGACAGATCAACAAAATAACTCATACTAGTTGTGCTCAACCTTTTGGACCCAAAGGCTAGAGGAGTGGCGTGGGGCAGGCCTGCGGGCCAGACGAGGCCCCGCACGGCCTTGGCTGGCTCCTGTCCACCCAGATTGGGCCCTGCACCAGTCCCATTCACTGGGATCAGGCCCTGGCTCCCCACAACACTCCCATCAGGCCCCACAATGCAGGGACTAAGCCCCAGGATTGGGCCATGCATCACTCCTGCCTGGCTGCACGTGCTGGGATTGGGTCCCACATCACCCCTGTCCAACCCTATGCATAGGGTGGCCATCATAGAGGACATTCTGGTTTTCTGCTACTGTCCTCTGTCCTCTACTGATACGAAACCCAACGCCTTTAGGTCCTCTTTTTCTTCTTCAGGGTGTCCGGTTTTGTATCAATAAGAGGACAGAGGACAACTGGACTGTCCTCTATGATGGCCACACTACCTGTGCACCAAACACTGAGAGGCCCCGTGCCATCCTGTGCTCCAGAACTGGGCTCCGCACTGGCCTGGGTGTCCGGCTCCATACGCGGGGCCATGCTATCTGGCCCTGCGGATGTGGCAATTTGGCATTAGAGGAGGATCCACCACTCCACTCCCCACCACCAAATTTTCACACCTGTTGGAAGCCCCGTGGACCAGACGATACAGCTCTGGGGGCTGGATCTGGGAGTTGAGTACCCATGATTTATAGGGTGGGCAACAGTTGATCCTCTGGATCATGGTGTATATGTAAGAGGTCTACTTAGGTTCCTGACGAACCCACCTGTACAGAGTCCTGAAACCGTCACACCAAGACCTTTGACGCATATACTAGGCAAGAGTATGGAGGAGTGGAGGCTGCCCAAGACCTCCCATCCCCTCTTTAGACCATTGAGACAGAATCCAAAGGCCAGACTGAGTCCTGATCTTCAGTGCCTCGATGGTTGTAGCTTCTGCCAGACAGCAACAGATAATTGCTGCAGACTGTCTAATGCCTCAGTGAGTGTGTGTTTGTCAGGGTGATGCCCCTTAGCCTTTCTCTAACCAAAGAGCACCCACAAGGCAGTGAGCGCTAGGGTTTTGAGGCATCCTATACTCACCTTACTCTGGAGGTTGCAACATTTTACAGGAGCTACCCCACCACGAGTAGCCCTACCATGTTGCCACCAGGCCCTCCAGTCAGATGCAGTTTACAGTCATACTGACGACCAAAACCAAGACCGCCGATTTATACTAATTTTGAAACACTTTTAAAGATATAGCTGGCACCTAAACACAAGTAAAAGGCCTTAATGTTGACCCTGCCCCAAATGTACCAGGTCAAATTCTGCCCTCAGGTGAAGTCAAGGCAATTGCTCAGGGGTATAAGTAAGAACAAAGTTTGCCTTGCAGTATTTGCCTCTATTGCTAACATGAATAGGTCTAATTCAAGTGTCAGTAACAACCGCAAGATTAATTCCTATAATCAGGAAGATGTGCAAACATGTAATAGCACTGTCAGATCCAAAGCACAAGTTTCACTGAAAAAAAATGAATGGGATCCCTGAACCTAGCAGTATAAACCACAACTATCAATAGCTTATGAAAGGACAGAGGTGCCAAACTCACTTTGTTTCCTGGGTTGGATCTGGACTGCGGGGCTCCTTGAGAACTGGATTCAGCCTGGGGAATGCGACATGCCCAGGATTGGAGCTACAGATGCTGCTGTGGCAGTGGTTGCAGCAGCAGCTCTGACACAGGGCAGGAGATGCAGCTCCAACTTCCACAAGCTGGATCCAGCCCATGGACCGTATGTTTGACACCCTTGATTTACAGTATAACACCAGGCCTGCAAAGAAACAGATCACTCTGATCAAGAACACTACGTTCTCCTCATAGTTACAGCAAGGGAAACAAGTAGGGATCAGAAATAAATGATTATGAAGAGCTGAGCAACCACGACAAAGTCTGGAATCTCAAATACACTGTGCTGTATTTACTGTACTGTTTCGACTTTCCTATGACAAAAGCCCCATCTCATCCCTCACTTCCTTTCTTTCGGAATTACACTTTGCATCCAAGGCAATCTGAGCACTTCAAACATTAATACACTTCTCAAGAAGCTGGCAAAAAGACATTATATTTATCTTTATTTATTTAGATGTATGTGCCTCCCTTCCCAACAACAGCTCTGGGGGGCTTGCAGTAAGAGAACACAGTAACTTGTAAAACACAAGAATAACGTGCAAGAGAACAAACCAACTTATAAAAGCAGTAGAATATTTTAAAAGTTATCAAACAAACCCCTTCTAAAACATATCCCAGCTTAGCCTTCCTTGCTCAACACCTGCCAAAAGAGGCAGGTCTCTCAGCACATCTGTAAGAGGTCCAGGTTCAGGCCCCAAAGGGGAGAGAGTTGCAGAGATGAGAAGCAACCATCAAGAACAACCCGCAACACTTTTTTGCCCAGTGAACTTGGCACACTGATGGCACTTGCAGGAGGTCGCCCTTGGCTGACTTACGGGTTCGTGATGCGGTGTCAGGGAGAAGGCAGTACCTTAGATACGTCAGGTTCAGACCCTTTAGGGACTTATACATCGAAACAAATACCCTGCCTTGTGCTTGGGGAGCTACTGGAAACCAGTGCAGGGTCTGAACCATTGGAACAATGTGCTCCTGGTGACCCATTCCCCATCAGGAGGCATGATGCTGCTTTCTACACCACAGACAGCAAGACAATACTTTCCATGTATACAGCCTGTTCATCAAAGGT